GGCGCCTGTGGTCCCAGCTACTTGGGAGGCTGGGACAGGAGACTCGCTTGAGCCAAAGAGTTGGAGGTTGCTGTGAGCAGCGAAGCCATGTCACTCTACCCAGGGGGGATAGCTTGAGGCTCTGTCTCAAAAAAAAAAAAAAAAAAAAGTTCAGCTTCTGGGCAGCACCTGTGGCTTAGTCAGTAGGGCGCCCATATACCAAGGGTGGTGGGTTCAAACCCAGCCCCAGCCAAACTGCAACAACAACAATGAGAAAAAAAAAAAACAGCCGGGAGTTGTGGCAGGCGCCAGTAGTCTCAGCTACTCCGGAGGCTGAGGCAAGAGAATTGCCTAAGTCCAGGAGTTGGAGGTTGCTGTGAGATGTGATGCCAAGGCACTCTACGGAAGGTGATAAAGTAAAACTCTGTCTCTACAGAAAATATGGCTAATCACAAATAAAAGGGCTGCTAATGTAACTTCCTACCTGAGGACTGTGTCAGAGATCAGGACCCACCACCTGGAGAAATGACTTCAGGAGACCATAATACACCCCTCCAAAATAAGCCACCTTAGGACATTGATTACTTTGAGCTAAAAGAAACTGAGAACCCACACAGGCAGGAAAAATTTTCATCTTCTATTCTCAACTGCCTAAAATAAAGTATAAAACTCCCCCTTCGTAAAGAGAAATGTATATCTATTAAGGAAATTTTCACTAGGAAAGGTATCTGTATCAGGATAAGAGCTGTCTGAAGACTTTTACCACCAGAGTCTTAACTGCATAACACTGCATTATACACAAACTTTTGTTCATCATACACTTCCTCTTCTCACCCTGCAATACAGTGAGTCCTTGGGTTACAAATGAGATAGTTCTATAAGTCTGTTCTTAAGCAGACTCTGTATATAAGTTGGAACAGGTACATTCACCTATTACCCCGATAGCCTCCATCCGTAAGTGCAAGTCGCATGCCTGTTGGATGTTTGTAACTCGGGGACTGCCTGTAATTTGTCTCCACCACTCTCTAGACGCTGCAAGCTTGTATCCACTGGCTTTTCCAGGAATCTATCTTTGTGGCCCTTCTGAGCATAGGTACATAAATAAATAAATTGTCCTATTAATCTATCTTATTAAATGATCACTTAATTTATAGCTCAGCCAAAGAACCTAGGTTAGAGAGATGCCATTTTTCCCTCCCTCCGTTTGAATCTTCTTTACAATTACCTCTCCCAGGTAATGTGAATTCTCCTTGCACTCTCCAGAGCTATGGAAGCCCAGTGTCTCCTACATCAGGCTGTGCTCACCCGTTTACAATAAATGACTCTGGCCCTAGGTTCTTCTCTATGCTGAGCTGCAGTTGGCTTCTCTGAGCCTCCACCCTTGGTTTCTGGTAAAAACCTCTCAGGCCCAGAGAGAACAAATCTGCTCTCTTCTGCCTGACAGCTCCTCGGCAGGTTCCTGGTACCTTCTCTCTTCTTTCCCTTCGACCACACTCATATTATAAGACTAGTTTTTCCTCCCCTTTTTCATAGCAGAGAATGAAAAGACTAGGGCTTTTCTCCATTTCACTGTGGGCCCGTGACCTACCATGTGAAATGGCAGGGACCAATGTGCTCAGCTAAACTCAGTTGTCAGTTCACAAACAACTAATCGCGCGCCTAATGATACTTAGCTCCTCCCAACAGCGGAAAAGCCCAACTCCAAAGTTGCAGCTCCAGGAACCAAAGCCGTTGCCGCGGTCCTCAGGACCGCTGAGCCCCCACCCACATGCGCCCTGACTCTACTGCCCGCTCCCAGGCCGAGGCTCGGGCCCGAGACTTTTCGCTTCCACCAGAGGAAGGGCTAGAAGTGCGATGCCCCGGACGCTGACTTTAGTCCCTGGGACCGGGCTCCTAATGGGCCCCGGCGGGCAGAGCGCCGAGGAGGTCGCGGACACCAAGGATCGAGCGGCCAAGTCCCTTGCCCATTCGCAGGGGCTCCGAGGGTCGGCCCGAACGCGCCAGGCACGGCGGCCGAGACGCACGGCTCGCTTCGTCTCGCGGTCGCGAGTCGGGGCGGGGACTCACAAGGACTCCAAGTGCTTGAGCTGCTGCAGCTGCTGCGCGTCCTGCCGCCGCCGCTTCTGCTCGCGACGCCGCTGCAGCTCCTGCTCGGGCGGCTCCCGCGGCCGCCGCGCACTCCCAGCTCCCGCGTCTTCGCGCCCCGACCGGGACGACATCGCGGCACCCGCGGCTCGACTCGGGCGGTCCCCGCGGCGCAGCTCCCCTGGCTCCAGCGGTGGCCAAGAGGGCACTTCCTCCGCGCGGCGGCCTCGCGGCGCCGCAGCGCCCCCTCCCGCCGGCGCCTTACGGTCGGCTCCGAGGGGCCGCAATCACAGTCGAGGCCGCACGTTCCCCGCCCACCGCGGCCGCCCCCAAGGCGGTGCTCCGAGCCCTCAGGCTCTGTGCCACGCCCTCTACTGCCGAGGGCTGCAGCGCGACTCCTGGCGGCGACAGGGAGGCGAGGCGAGAGGGCTCTCGCTGCTGCTGGAGAGCCGGGGCGCTTCCGGGTGCGCCGGAGGCACCTGTCCGGCCCCTCCCACCTCCAGGCTGGGACAGTCCCTTCGTGGTCCTCTGCGCTAGACGCAAGCGAACCTGTATCAGCCGGATTTGTCTGGACCCAGTGACTAGACACAGGGCCGCTGCTCATTACGTATTGATAGAATTCATCCATTTTTGGAAGCAAGAATCTCCACATAAATTCTCCAGTTTTCTACAGCGTGGATCTACGCTTAAAATACACTCAAAGTACATTGTGTCAAACAAGGTTCGAGTGCTGGAAATAAAAACAAAAGCTAATGTACACTGAGCCCTTGTTATATGCCAATCATTGGGCCAAATCCTTAATAAGAATTGACTTAAGGCTGGGCGCCTGTGGCTCAAGCGGCTAAGGCGCCAGCCACGTACACCTAAGGTGGCGGGTTCGAATCCCCAGCCCGGGC